AGAAAAAAGAATATATTCTTTTTTTTCTCATATTCATCACAAATTTTATATTTTTTATAAAAACAAAACGTAATTTTATTACAAAAAAAATTGGTTTAAGAACCCTAAAATCGAGCGGAAGAATACATAAACTTTAGAGTCGAAATCAACCCCAAATCTTTCATTTTTGAACAAATTGATATGGGGATATGATAGATACTTCAATTAAGATTCAAATGCTCCAAATTTCATGAAAACTTATTCACTATTGAGATCTTTATTCCAAAAATTGCGAATTTTTTACGTCACGAAAATTTCTGGAAAAAACGCAGCAAAACAAAATCGATATAAAAAAATTTAATCAATAGTAAATCAAAATAACTAGTTTATTTGATAGATAAGGACTTCATCATCAAACTTCAGTGATTAATTCGATAAAAATCGATCAATTGATCGATCAGAAATCAATTTGTTTGGATAAAAACAGTTCTTCGAGCAGCAGTACTTTGGCCCCAAAAAAACCTCAAATTTTCATTGTTTTGGAAAAATTAAAATATGTAAACATTGAATCCTTCAACAATCAATCAAAGCCCTCCATTTTTATGAAAATATATGAGGTATTAATTAAAGCTGCATTTGATAGAATGGCGGAAATTTTTAATTTTCAAAAATCCCAATTTCAATCAGCCAAGAACGCCTTGTTTTTCGACTTTTGATTCAACAATAGATAATCTATAGAAACTTTACGGTGTATAACATCAATATTGACTGAAAAAACAAAAAAAAAAACTACAAAATGGAAGAAAAAAAAGCTGCAAAATCTTGATCTATGAAAATAACAGGCCTGTGTCAAATAACAGTCGTTATTTGATGCGTTATAACGGCGCTATAATGCACGAAAACAAAAGCAAACCGGACCGATTTTGAAGAAAAACCGCCGGTTCGACATTGAACCAGCCAGTTTTGGTCCCGATTTTTTTTGGAGTTCCGTCTTACCATGTGTACCGCAAAACCGGCCCTAACCGGAATTGCCACCCCACACAGGCAGCGATCTAACCGGCCGGTTTCGGTTCTAACATGCTGGTTTTGCGAACACTGTCTATGAGTGATAAAATTTCCCAAAGCATCATAAGAAAAATTTAGAAGTAGTGCAACAGCAAACCAACAATACAAAGTTAACACATATTACACTCATCATGACAATGCAACCATATCTCACGTACCCAACCTCAAACGAAGATTGATACAGTAGGAAAGATATGAGGAGTACTTTAGTAATTGCAATATTAGGTTAATGTATTTTGAATTTGGGATTAGACCGCATGGTTTTCCTTAAACCCTTTTTGGCTTCAATATGTCTCCCTTAACATATTGCATGAACATGGGCATGTGTCGAAATCATGAAGAACAAGATTTAAAGATATGGCTATATTATAAAGAGAACCAAATCTGAAATGTTAACTAATAGTCTGACTCGATTCTCATGCTTCCAAGCTAGCATACTCACCGCCACAGCCGGGCCAAGCCTCCTTTCCTGTCTCTTAAGGTCTTTTTTGCTTTTGATGTTAAAAAATGGTTCCCTCAACTTCCAGTTTCAATGTCTATCTTAGAAACATATTTTTACCTTGAGGTGCATTTCCTATAAAATCATCCGGTTGACAAACCTAAAAGACAAATCTGTATCATGATATCACCAAATTTGCCACCCAAACAAACTGCAAGAGAGTCCTAAAATCTTGAAAAGTGTCCCTTCTATCTGGTCATGAATTATCAAACCAATTGCTAGCTAACATTATAATAACTCGATGATTGCGATCAGCAAAACAAATAGACCTGGTATTGAATTATTGAAAAAGGAAAAGAGATAACACAGTCATCTTGAAATCTTAAAGTTGTCTCTTCCAGCATAAAGTTGATCTAGGCATTGACCGAAAAAAGAAAAACACAGTTGAACTTAGCATTCAATAATTGAAAAACTAAATTGTATCATCTATAACCCCACCATGCAATTTCGAAAGCATGAAGTGATGATTTAAGAGTTCCTCAGCAGTCACTATCAAACAAATATTAATACAGAAGACATGCACATGCTCCAAAACACCATAGAGCTTCTCATGTAAATTCAAACAGAATTACCAAGAATAAATCTAATAATATATAAAAGTACCCCAAAAGAAGTAAAGCTGGATAACATATTTGTTAGAGCAATAAGATAAAAGAATTGGCAATATAATTTAGATCTTAGCTCAACTCATATGAAAAATGTAGGAACTAACGCAAATTTTCAAACTCACTTGTGATCATGCCTGCCCACCAAAGTGGTTCATATAGATAAGAGTAGCCACCAACTCCTACAGAAAATAGTCAAATCAATTTCCAGGACATCAAGGCTATCCAAATAATGCAGCCAATTAGAAAAAGAGAAAATGATAGCACAAATTACTTATAAGCAAACAAAGTGAGTGATTTAAAAAAAAAAAGAAACAAGACATTAAGAAATTAATGCAGCAAACTAAATAAAAAGAAGGAAAATGTTAGCAGAGATTACATGTAAGCAACCAATATGAGGGTATACAAATGAAGATTTGTTTATCAGATCCAGGTTTAATTCCCGAAACTGCTTTTATACATAAACCTATACACAGAAATGCATAATGAAAATTAAAGGAAGAGCTAGCTTTATAAGAGGCATGGATGAAAAGCTTCACGATGTGGTATCTTCGGTTGAGATGAAGCACAGCATGCCACATTTATTTCTCACTGGCAGATATAACAAGATTATAGTGATAAGAGGTAGAAAGATTCCAGCTTCAGATCGATCTTATCCAAACACTCCCAAATTCCCCAAGTTTTGCAGGCCAACACATCACGCTATCTTGACACGATACAATACTCATGGGTACAGGGGCACACCTGGACCGGTAGCATCAGGCATGACTATCACAAGAGATAGGGCTGACAACTAGCAGGGCCTAGGCCGGGCCAGCCAGCCCTGGCCCTAGTTCCTATAGGGTGGCCATAGCCCAGCTGGCCCAGAATGGGCCAAAGAGGCCCCAGTCCCGACCCCGACCCTGGATTGATGGGCTGACCTAATAGACCCAAAGGAAAAAAAGAGAAAAAATAAAGGGAAGGGCCGGGCCCTCCCTGACCCAGCCCTCAGGCCACATGTTGTGACCTAGGCCCTAGTTTTTTAGGGTCGAGCCGATTAGGCCACTCCGGCTGCCCGGCCATTTCCAACTATAATTATAGAAAAGTTTAAACACAAGGTGTCCCAATTTGTGGAGGCAAAAGTTGGAACTCATGACTTCTTGCATTGAAGCCACAAGCTCTGCCTCCAATTGTTGACGGCCTTATGCGATAAATTAAATATTAATATAATTTCAACAAGAAAAAGACACTATTTTGCAAAATACAGATTATATAAAAGAACATAATTATACAAGAGAACATCAAGAAACAAGTTATAGTATAATAGTCAACAACATTAGATTCATTTTCTTTATAGATATGAGTACAAATGTCTAGTTTGGTTCTCTCAATGAGCTTGTGTGGCTCATCTCACTCTGTAAAACCATATCACCCTACGGTTCTTCCCCCCGACGCCAACAGCCTTCTTCCATTTTCATTCTACAATTGGATGAAGGAGTCCGCAAGTTAATCTTTTCAGTTTTTGCTTCTTGAAAAGTGGAAATCTCTCTCTCTCTCTCTCTCTCTCTCTCTCTCTCTATGTTTAGATGGGCCATCTCTCTCTTTCTAAACCAACAAACTGTCAGGTAAATGTGCCATCTCTCTCTCTCTTGAATCAATAGTAAATGGGTAGACATTTGATTTCTCAATCTAAACGC